ACTTCCTGAGCAGTCCTTTGAATCTTTCCCATGCTTCATATAGAGATTCACTTTCTTTTTGTTCAAAAGAAGTGATATCCCCCTTGAGCTTTGCCATCTTCGAAGATGAGAAAAATTTATCCAAAAATTTGGTTCCCAAGTCGTCCCAGTGAGTGATGCTTCCTTGAGGTAACGATTGCAACCATCCTCTTGCTTCGTCTATAAGTGAACATGGGAACAACCTGAGCAAAATAGCATCCCGAGACACCCCGTTCATTTTCAAGGTATCACAATATAGCAAGAAGTTTTCCAGATGGATGTAAGGGTCTTCAGTGCTTCCTCCGGCAAATTGGTCTTTCTGAATTAATTGTAAAAGTGCCGGCTTGAGTTCGAAGTTGTTAGCATCCACGTTTGGTCTAACAATACTCGCCGTCTGTGGAACTCGAGCAGGAGTCATGTAATCTCCCAACGTTCTCGGAGGTGGTGGAGGTGCATTGTTGTCTCCCATTGCTTCTTCTCTTGGTTCTGTTGAGCTTGAAGCTTCTTTCTCTTGCTGTCTTCTTTCTTTAGCAAGTTTTCTGTTTCTTTTGCTGTTTTCTCTATCTCCGGGTCGAATTGCAAGGAATCGGTGTCAACGGTACCTCGCATAAACCAGAAAAATAGATTATATAAAATAAGAAAAATAAAACTGAATTTAAATAACAGAAAATTAAATAACAGAAAATAAGGTCCAATCTAAAGAATTAATAGCTACTATTAATGTTGAAATAGTAATCCCCGGCAACGGCGCCAAAAACTTGTTGCTACTCACGGCAAGTGCACCGATCGTACAAGTAATATATGATTAAGTAAGAGATCGTTCCCACGAGGATTACAGTTCAAGCACTAATTCACTATCGCAAACTTAGTTAGACAATCGAAAGTGTATTTGGAAACAGGATTTGAATTGCATAATTAAAATATTAAATATTAAGCTAATTACTTGCAAGAATTAAAGACAAGAAATTAAAGATGTGATTTAACTAATAAAATAAAAACGTAGCTAGGGGTTCGATTTCCTTTAATCTCCTTATTATGATTCGAAGTCCTTCTTTACGTTAACTGTCCTTAATATCAATCTAACCAATTCTTTCGCATGTTATTAGAGCTCAATCCCTTGTTACTCTAAAATCTTTACAATATTGGAAGAACCCTAGTTCCCCGGTTATTCCCCAAGCATGCAAGCATTAAATTCAAGAATCTTAAAGATTACGCAAACCCTATGTTTATCCCTAGAATCATAACGTTTACGATGAAGTTATCAGATATGGATCACACACTAACATTCCTATTGTCATGCATTCACCGATGATCATTATATAAGATTCAAGTCTATATAAAGCATTAAAAACAGATAACTTCATTCATGATAAAAAGGAAAATTAACGTACGAATTGTTCAAAGCGTAATAAATCGACTAAAATCCATCTAACCCTAACTACTTAAAGAACTAGCCGGACATGGCAAAATCAAGAACAAAAGAAAATAGAAAAGCTCCCCCAAACTCCATAGATAATTGGTGGATCTTCAATATCTCCAGTGAACACTTGACGTTGATCCGTCTCCGCCGCTCACGAACATGAATATGATGTTCCTCCGCGTTCCTTCAGCCTCTGAGCACCCAAGAGTTGTTTAGCAATGTAAAGTTATCTATTTCTGGTCCCCAATGGTGTTTTAAATAGGTCAAGAGTTCGTATTGCAGTAGAAAACTTGAATGGGCCTAAGTTGGACTTGTCTGGGCGCTTAAGCTTGTGAATGGGGGCTTAAGCTTCCACTTTTAACAACTTGATAAGATCTTCAATCTTATTGTTTTCACCTTGATTCATCTTCTTTTCTGATTTGATCTCTCTTTATCTAAATCTTCATATTTGAATCATTTGTTATCAAATCCCTTTAAAAATAACAAATATATTAATTAGTTCCAACAATCAGATAATGTTCATGATTATCATTTTAAAACCCTAATTTTTGACTTGTTCAACTAGATAATTCATATTATTTTAGTCCATTAAACAAGATAAACTAAAGGTTTATCATGTAGCATCATCTCGAATCTGCGCTACAAGAGGTAATAATAAAACTATGATGATCCTATACATCTAAATCACTATAGTCTTAAACGCTTCTGCAGATGCAAATGCTCCTACAGTTATATTGTTATATATATATATATATATATATATATATATATATATATTAAAAGTTAAAATTTATATATAATATAAAAAGATACAAAATAGTAAATTTATTGAAGTACAGGGGCACAATGTTCAATCGCCCCCTTTTAAAAATAGGTTAATTTATGAGTTCAACTCATTTCAATCCTTACGTGAGTGTGTTAGGTTTGGTCATGTCAAAGAAAATAAAATCTTCTAACCCAATACTCAGAAAATATCCAAATTCCAACCCAACTTAATCTAATCCACAACTCTAGAATATGAATACCCTGATGGTTATCATGTGAATTGACACCGTTATTGCTACTGAAAGTTCTATGATATATTTTGTTGGTCAATTATGTGTGAGTCTGATTAATTGAATTTGAGGAAACTTATATTTACTAACTTTTTGTGTATTTCGGAAAGGGATAGGATATTGTGACACTCAAGTTATGTTACACCCATGTGACACCCAATCAATCTCATCGTTAGATCGCTTATGTTGATCCAACGATTATATTTATTTCCATCTTTGTATGGTCATGACTTCCCAAGTTTAAAGTGAAAGCATTAACTATGGGAAATCATAACCATACAAAGGTAGAAATAAATATAAAATATTAAATTTGAGAAATCATGACCATACAAAGATGAAAATAAATATAACCGTTGGATCAACATAAGCGATCTAACGGTGAGATTGACTGGGTGTCACATGGGTGTAACATAACTTGGGTGTCACAATATCCTATCCCTTTCGGAAATTACAAATTTAAAAATATTGGTACTTCTTGGAATATATAATTTAATTTTTAAATAAATTTTTTTATAAAGATAATCTTTATTGAATTTTATGCTTTTTCAAAGTGACAGAAAATGAATGTTTGTCGTAACATTGGGGGAAGCCGGAAAAGAAGTTTCCGTAAATTTGGAAGGAAATGAGATCTGCTTTCAATGATTTTAATTTGCTTGGTGCTTTTGGTGTTGGGAATGAATCTTTTCGGATGAAAAAATAATCATGTGATCATGTTATTTGATCTAATCACTTATTTAAAAATTATATATATATATTTTTTACCTCATCATCCATAAATAGTCATAATCAAATAATATGATGACATTATTAATTTTCTACATAAGATGATTCACTCTACCTTCTGTTTGAGTAATTGTGATGAATAACTTTGCAACTGCCAACTGTCAGTTATGACCACACCATAGAAAATAACAAAAATGAAGCATTAATATGTTGTATTGGGTTTGGAGGATACGTTGGTTGTTGGTTTTGACTAATTCAAACTTAGTTAGGTGTCACTGTCTGTGTGTTCTGATTTTCCGCTGCTTCTGCTTCGGGGAAACTTCTTCGCCTCGCGCCTCACGCTATCTGCTGGGACTTTATTTCAATTAAATAATCGGTATTTTATTAGCAAAATGACGTTTTGGTTTTGTTTGGTACCATAATTACAAGAAGGGGAATCATACTCTTCAGCAACTGGCAAATGGATCTCTCATGCACTAGATATATATTTTTAAAGTGGATCCTATTATTTAATAAAATAAAATAAAAAAACTGTTGACACTATTCTCCGTGGGTGTGCAGAAAAAATTCATATCCACTCCAGCAGCGGAAGAGAATATAGCCCCATAGAAGAATGACGTTTCATATTTGTTTGCTATGACAGAAAAGAAAGAAAGAATTGTATTAAAAAAATTATATATATATCAAGGGGGTTGGTTCAAAGTAGGATTGGTTGAAGTGATACAATTTTGTTTTAAGGAAAACATGTTTTCCTTTTTAAACTAGAAAAAGTTTCTTTTATTAGTGATTCATAATATAAGTGGGGCCTATAAAATGAAGAAAAAAAAAAATCAAAGTAAAACCCACTTATGCTAGGAATAACTAGTAAAAAAAAAATTTCTTTAAAAAAAAAAATATTTTTCCTTTTGTTTAAATAAGTTTTGACTTTAAATTCTCATGATTATAAAAAAATTTCTTCAAAAGAGTTAGTCTATTATGATGTAGATATTCTCGTCTCGAATATAATTGCCTCTTTAATGAAAGATACATAGAATTTATTCATATAGAAAGAGCACAAAAAGAAATTGATTCAACTAGTACATACTTAATTCATCTTAATTTATAAAAAGAAAGAAAAAGTATTGGTCTATTGGAGAAACTATTAATCACATTAGAAATATATGTATGAAATTAATTTATTTTTTTATTGTTAATAAATTTATAAACTTAAATTTTTTTTTCCTTCCCAGTTTTTTCGTATGGAGGGAATTAAGAATTAAAGGTTTTAAAAAGAAGGAATATATATTTCAAAAAAAGAGAGAGAAGAAGAATGGATATATTAGGCCAATTCTTTTCTATTTTCCTTTTTTTTCTTCATTCATATATTACATAACATACAGACCCACTACAGGGAATTTGGGGTTTAGCGTCGGTTATTTTAATGAGCGGAGGCGGTTTAAACAGCCAGCAAAAATTTTGACGTCACTTTAAAAACCGCCTGTGAAAATGCGGCCACTAAATCCATTTGCACGATTTGGCGTCAATTTTCTCAACCGACGGAATAACCGCCGTTGAGCTTTAGCTTAAAATTAAAAAAAAAAAAAAAAAAGCAGCAAAAACAGCTGCTTTTATTTGTGCAGAAGCCAAATAATCAAATCTAAGTTAAGACACATTAAAGGCATTATAACTGATTCTTTAAAAACCACATCAAAGGCATTATAACTGCTTCTTTAAAAACCAAACCAAAATTAGATTCTTGTAAAAGATTAGTTATTATTGTATTTCATGTGACAACAAATGGCAACCTCTTTCGTCATAATCTAAAAGGAAAGTGAAAGGGCTTTTCAGCTCTACACAAACTATTGACTCCATCCTAATACTATCTTCTGAGCTGCAAGAGCTTCAACCTCTAGAGTTGGTTCCCATAATAGTATAGTCTCTGCCAGTAATGATGTCACCACATATGGATCCCCGGACGCCTATCTTCCAAGTAACCTATGATCAAGATGTAAACAAAGAAATTAATGAAAAGTTTGATTTGGTGAATTGTGTGACTAAGTTATGGCTAAATATCCAGGTGAATACAGGTGCCAAAAATAATATGATACAGAGCTGCTTCCTTGCAGAAACACCAAAGAGCCCCATAGTCTCTCTCTCTATTTATATATATATATATATATATATATATATATATATATATATAAATAAATAATATGAGAATAGAAGCACTGCCACCAGTAAGGCTAGAGCAGCAAAACATACTAAACCAAGTAAGAAATTATAAAAAAAAAAGGTGCTCAATGATAACCAATTAACCACATACCTTCAGTTTCTTATTAGGAGCAAGAGCTTGAGGAGGAATAACTGAAGTCAATTCGCACAATGGCTTTATGACAGCAGAATAAGTGGGATGTTCAATTTCCCTAACAAAAGTTTAAATAAAAAAAATCTTCATATGTATAATGAACATGGTGCATTATCACATTATTAAGTAAAAAAATAAGAAACATAAAGCCACCAAAGGTGAGAGAAAACTACATACCATAGTGAGAATCTTTGACGCAGGTTAAAATATCAAGGTTTGGAGCTCGAGGATGACACCAAGAAGCCACATTGTGGTCGAAACTGGCTTTATACGCCGCAGCTCCTGAGAATCAAAAGCATGCAGCAATAATTAAATTAATAATTCATGCTAAGTCTCTCCAGCTACCAGGAGATTTTTCACAGAATCAAAAATATCCAAGTGTTGGCTCCACTACCACACCTTAAAGGAGACTGTGTCCCATATTGCCAATTACTTATCTGCACCAATTGTAATTAGCTGAGGAGCACCTCCCATCACCCTAGATAGCTCAACTGCTACAACCCCACCATTGTGTGCCTAGATACATCATGCGTTATTATTATTAACTAATGAAATGTGCATGCATGGAATCAGTACATATGTACAAATAATCAACCACGGAAAACATAGTAACTAGAAATTGTAATTTTCTAATAATTTATCTAGATGGACGCAACGCTGCAGCAAATAGTGCTGGAACTAGTAATGCAAGTGCAATTATAAATATAAACCAAAGAAATTAGAACTCTGAACTAGCAACGCTGCAATAAATAATATAAACCAGCTTTTTCTAGCAATGCATCAGCTTCTGCAGGACCTCTGCTTCCAGGTTTGTAAGGGATTGGCTTGAACTCCCTTTTATCAATGCGATGCAAAAGTGGGGTGAAGATCTCCCAAGATGCCTGATAAGAGATAAAAAAACACAACTATTAAAGTTGTGAATCAATACCATTTTGCAATAGTCTATGAAGCATGTAATGATCTTTACCTTCAACTCATCTCTTCGAACACAATGATGAATTAGACGCTCATAAACATGAACTAGGAAAAATAGCATACGTGTCAAGAATTAGACGCTCATAAGCCTTTGGAATGGTTATGCCTTGATAGCGTTGCCTATATGACAAATCTAGTTCACTTTGAACTGTGGACATCTCCAGTCCAGGTTGCTTGACCTGCATGAGACATTGAACTTGTCAGTCCAATCTCAGAAACATCATTCAATTATTTTAGCATTTTATGGCCATATCTTAACGAATTTAAGATATAAATTTCTTTCATTATCACAATATAACAGGTAAAATAAGAAAATGTTAACTAGCAAAGTTGCATTAACTTTAAGAAGAAATTGATTCCAAACAGCAGACTGGACAGAAATTATGTAATGACCAGTTGCTAAACCTGAAGGCCTAAAACATTCAGCTCCTGCATTTCCTTATTATTTTTGTTAAAGAAGAATTGAATCAGAAAATAATTACCAGTAGCAATTTTACTTAAAATACTAAAGCAATCTTTTAAATGAGGTAAGCTGATAATTTACAAAACTAAGGTATATATATATATATATATATATATATATATATATATATATAAACCAAAAGTAGGCACTATTGTTAATTCCAGGATATAAGCAAGCCTTGTAATGAGCATCAGATATATCACGTCCGAATGTGTGACAATCCATTTTATTAGAAACAAATATGGTTAAGAAATCCCGAATTCCAAAGACTAACTCTAACCATTACTAAAACTCAAACATTATTAGGGTTCTGTGGGTGTAGGAAACACCACTTCAACAATTACATATAGCAATTTCCTTTCCACACCATCCACACGCATGCTACACATGTGGCTGGACTTTACTAACTCAATTGGTGCATAGCCACCAAGTGGCAACCAGGTCATCCCCCTCCTTGCGTGCATGTACGCCACATGCTTAGCTAAGTTGACACTTGACACCCTCTCATTCTCCACGGCAAAACACCATTGACCAACATCTCATCAATTCAAAATTTTGCATCTTCAAACACATTCATGGTAAAGACTCTCAAGGAACCCACACATGGCCAAGCTTTCCCAACCCACGCAATGCATGCCCTCCGAGTGTCAAGTAAACCCCCTCATTTTCACTTGCATGACCGCCACCTAGCCAGCATTTGGACAAATTGCAAATCCATTTATTTTCAGTCAAAACACATTTGACTACATTCACTTTCTTGTTGTTCATCTTCTGTACCGAAGACTATCATCCGCCTCTGTTGATATCGTTTTCAAACTTTCCCCAAGCAAGAACATACCACCAAGTTCTCACCACCTCTAGCTTATTTCTCCATTTCTCAACCGAAGCCAACATCTACTTCTCCATTAATTTTTCCATAGCCGAAACAGACTAGCTAGGAGAGTGACCTCAAACTTGGGTTCTTTAAGCTTACAACTCACATGCAAAGCCACATTTCTTTCAAAATCCAAGCCGTGAGTCTCATATTGAAGTTGAAGTTGAAGTTATAGTTCATTCATTCCTCATCCAGTTTGGCCAAAGATTTAAAAGGAGGAGGCACGAACCCTTGCTAAGAGCTTCAAGAAGGGGAAACAAGGAACTATAACTAGGAAAAAACACTGATTTGTTTGAAAAGTGGGAAGGTAAATTCTAGCCTTGTGTGTGTTCCCCTCGCTTACGGGTATGGTGATTAAAGAAGGGTGATTTATGTGAAAATTTTAGTGGTTATAGCCCTGACTTAGCCAATTAATTCAGGTTTTTATGGAATGAAGTTCTGTTTATTCATTGTATAATAATGGGAATTAGGAACTCTATTAGTTATGTCACCCTCGGCTGTGTTAGGAATATAGGAGTACTTCTTTGTGTGCCCTGTTTTGTTGAATCCAACCAATTGGCTAATGACATATGAAGGAATACCTAATTAAATATGCAATATGAAATTCACAAATTCTTGTGAAATGTGAATAAAACACGAAAGAAAACTACAAGTGACATTATTTATTATATATATATATATATCATAAAAAATGGAAAATGAGATACTACAAACCATGAAAAATTGTTAAATACATTACTTACTGTGGTTGATTGCTCACGATGGAGATTCGGAGCTTGCGCCATCGAAACCAGATTCTGAGCCTGTGACAAGAAAGCTCATGTTGATGGAATAAAATAGCAATAAATCCAAAAAAAAGGAAAATCAAAAAGTCAAATTTAAATCTGAAGCAGGTTAAAGAACAATACCTATAAAGAACAATGACTGAGCTCAACACAAAATTCTAAAATGAAGATAAGGAATTAACTTAGGGTTTATGGCATGGAAGATTTCGAATTGAATCAGCTTCGATGCAAAATCGCAAATCTAATAAGGATTGGGAAGGAGTTCTTACATACCAATAAAAATGGTAAGATTTACCCCAAACAATTTCCCTTCTCTGAGGTCCAAAATATCTCGCTTGCTTGAGAATCAGAAAAAAATATATCGCAATTGAAATGATTGACAAAATTTAAATGTTGAGATTTTTAGATAAATGTGAAGTGTAAGAGTGCCTTGTGGAAAGTGAAAGAGAAAGGGCGTGGTGTGATTTTGTAAATGGTTATATTAACCCGGTTAAATTTATCATTTAAAATGCAGGCGTTTATATAAACCCGCCATTAGTAAACGGCCACAAAAATGCGAATTTGTTGTAGTGTACCGGTAGTAGGGTTTTTATTTATTTATTTATAAAGTAAGATATAACCTTGCGTTTGCATTAATTTTTTAGCTAAATTAATTTAACTTATTTACAAAGAATTTCAAATTTAAATGAGGTCAATTTATTAATTAAATTAGTTTAACATATAATCAGTTAAGCACGCTAAGTAAAGCGTCTCACCTGTTTATATAAAAAAAAAAGAAGCGTCTCACTCTCACCTTATAAACGAGTTCAACAAAAACTTCGTTCTCCCCATAATATTTTCTCGCACCCGACCTTAGGAATTAGGATGATTATGGTCGGAATCTATAAAAATAAATTGCCATCTCTCTCATAATTTTATTTATTTATTCATATTAAATTTTCCATTGGCTCTCTGATTTATTAGCTTGATCCAATACACTATTTATCTAGCTATGGCCTTGGCCTTAATATAATAAGAATAATATTTATACGTTTTCCAATACACCATCTATTAACTGTTTGTCATTTTAAATGATATAAAGTTACGTCATTTTAAGAGAGAGATAGACACAGAATAAATTTTTTATTTTAATTTTAAATTAAAAAAAATCACTCACTTTCTTTCTCCCATGATTTTTATTTTTTGTGTCTATCTCTTTTTTAAAATGACAAACACCAAGCCTATTATTTAAATTATTACGTGACAAATTTCTTTTATCAAATTTTCAACACTATTGCGTATTCAGAATTCGAAATTGAGATTATTGGTTAAACTTGAACAATTCCTTACCAATTATTAATCCACGTATTTGGTGTTGAGGTTCTTAAAGTTTAAAAGTTAATATCACAGTTGATTGAGGTAACTAGTTAAGAAATTAAACTACATTCAATGCAGAACAAATTAAGAGTTGGCAACGGGATAATAGGTTGTTGTTATTTTACCAAAGGATAGTATTTTTTTCAACCAAGAGAAATATATAACTTTTTTCCGGCCGTTTGACGTTTAATAAATAAATTCGAAAAATCATAATCATACAAAAGTAAATGAAAATATAAAATACAGAAAAACATAACCAATCAACAGTGTAAGATTTATTGCTGGACGTCCAGCAACCAGAGAAGTGATTTTACTATATATATATATATATATATAGGAAAAAATATTTTTACAGTTACTGCAGATAAGTTATCTGATTTTTTTTCCTAAAACAACGTCGTTTTGGTATTGAAATCTTAAAAATTTATAAATATAAAGACTGTTATAACCCTAAAATAAATTAAAATTATAAAAACATCATGATTTCCGCCCTAAAACGATATTGTATTAGGCTTACTGCAGATAACTTATCTGCAGTAACTGCAGAAAAAGCGAACTCATATATATACATATATATATATATATACATATATATATATATATATAAACTTTTAGATTACGAATTCCATTTAGGGAAATCAGTTTGTCATGTTGTAGGAATGACACTGTTTCTTCTTACAACAAGGATCCGATTCTGTATCCTGAGCATCCGATTTTGGATCTGACTTTTTTTTAAGTGTGGGCCCCACACTTGATTTGTGTGTATAGGTCAAAAGCTCTTATTATTTGACATGTCAAAAAGCAACTCTTCCATTTATATATCTTTATAAATGTTTTATCCCAGTGAGAATTTTGATACTAACCAGGCCACTTCTCCCGTGTGGTGACTGGGCCGAGGACTAAACTAGCCTATTTGACCCACGACCAATTCGTACAACAAGGAGGCCCAAGGATTGATATAAATATAACCATGGTCCATGACCAAGGAGTGGTTCAGCAGAATGTAGGAACAACGGGAAGGGTATGCATGAGTCTGTCAAGTGAGTCTGATAGAGAAGTGCAATTTTCTGTACATGAGCTTTGACTTCTTCCTAAATTGATTTATGGTTAGCTGAACTAATGCGGAAGAACAAGAAGCCACTTCATTTAACTATGTGAATGGATTAGATTTTACGAAAACATTGGTCTCTCTTACACCTAAGATAATAAGTCTCCTCTTAAACTTATCTACAAAAATATACTAGTTGCTTTAGATGGTCAAAATAAATGCGCCATTGTTAACATCTTTGACTTGTTCATCTGATTATTACAATGAGGCTTTGTTGGCACATGGCAGTATCACAAAATTGGCAGAAGATTTCCGCTCAAAGCAACGATATTCTCCATCTCTTTCACCAATAAGGGTGGTGTCAGGGTAGGTGATTCGGCAAGTCAGCACGTATAGGAGTACTAATTTAGACATAGAGAGAACCCAAGATGCATTTCATTATCATTAATCAATTGACTAATTTCATTTTCAAGTTTTTATATTTATATCTCATCGATTAAGTGATTTAGAGCTTGTTAAAAAACTAAAATGTTACTTCCCTACGTGATATTGACTAAATAAAATAAAAAAAAGTGAATTTGATTGATGCTAAAGTAGCACTGTTTGGTGTATGATTATGGTGGAAGGTTTTTGGTCTAAATTGGCTCTAGCAAGTTGTACCAAGGGGGATTCATTTGTTAGGTTTAACTTTTAGCATGTATCAAGTCAAATAAATACATACTTTGCTCAAGGAATCCTTGTTTTCAATTGCAAATCTTTCTGCCCATCCAAACTTCATTCCAGGTGGTATCCGGTATGGATCTTGTTGCGACTTTGACAAGTACACCGATCGTACAAGTAATAAAGTGGTAAAAGTAAGATTATCGATCCCACCAAATTGAATTGATTTATCAAGCAATAATTTATTTATATAATTAAAGTTGGATCGATCTTGGAAGTCTTTGAAATATGACGTGGTTAATAAAAACATAAATTTAAAATCTTTATTTTTGATTTTCAAAATTAATAACTAAGACGCAAGAACGCAAACAAGAACGAGTCAAATTTAATTAAAAACGAGCGTAGTTAGGAATTTGACTTCCCCAATATTTTCCTAACAAGTCTAATCTTTCATGCAATTAACTTTTAAGATCAATTATTGACAATCCTTTCTAATTTAACTGAATCCTCAATCCCTTGGTGGTTTCAGTTCTTTACTCTATTATAAGGCTCTAATCCCTTAGGGGGCGTTTGGTTGAGGAAATTTTTTTGGAATAGTAGGGAAATGAGATAGATAGAGAAATGATTGAAAAGATAGATAAAATGAGATAGGTAGAAAAATGTAAAAAAAAGTTGTTTGGTGGGGAAAAACTTTACTGGAAAAATTAGGTAACTTTATGAAATCAACAGTGCATTAAAAGTCAGATAACCGATTTTCCGAAAAATCGCACCTTCAAATTGGGTTTCTAAACAGTGCGGATATCTATGTTTCTCATAAATCCAGACAAATTAGATAGATGGGTTTTTGGTGAAAAACGTTGAAACAAACATGGTGTTTCTAAAAGTCATACTTGAGAAAGATAGATATCCCCTGAAAAGCTCCCAACCAAACACCACCTTAGGGTCTTTTTCTAAAGCAAGCTTTAAGGTCAAGAATTATGCATCATAGAATTTATAAGACTATTCTTAGAACATACAAACTCTAGTAATTAATCAAACGGAATCAAAAAAGCAATATTCCTATTGGCATGCAAGATTTTAATGGCCATTCAAGATTGGTCAAATCATAAACGAGACTAGGAATTTAAAATAGATAATTGCATAATTGAAGCATGAAAAATAATTACAAGAAGGATTAAATAGCGTTCAGGAACCCATTGGTTTTGTCTTGCCCTAACTACATAAAAAGAACTAGCCTAACATATTCAAAAAAAATAAAGAAAAAGATGAAAAGAAACTAAAATTCATAAAAGAAACATAAAGTCCGGTCTCCATGGTGAAGCTTTGACTGTTTCTCCGCTCCTTAGATCTGGAACGGAGCTTCTCTGCCTCCTAAGTCATCGTTGGTCACCTCCTAGCCTTTCTCTATCGTGTCCTCGGATGAATGGAATGAGCCATAACGTGCGTTTTTATAGAAATAAAAATGGGCTTTTTAATTTGGACCAGGCTCGCTGAGGATAATTTTGATTAATTCTTTATTTTTTCTTGATCCTTATCCTTTGCAACTGCCTTTATCGTTCAGAATTCGTAATTTATTCCTTTAAACATGAAACAATATGCTAGAGATCAAAATTACATCCAGTTGTTGAAATCTTAATATCTTTTGCATTTATTAATTAACACTATATGTTTAATTAGATTAATCATTATTTAAGCTAATTTTAATCTTAAAAACATAATGTCTATGACACTCATCAAATCTCCCTTCCCACTATAACTGATTTGGTATTTGCTGTTATCTTTGACAAATTAATTGGACAAAAAAAATATACATAACCTTCTCCATTTGGACTATAGTTCAATACACATTATTAACCAGTTAAAAATAAAGTGTGAGTGATAAAAAAAAAAATTTTAAGAAGAAATGAACTAAGCATGATATAAATAAGTAAATGAGCCTATAAATTCATTACCTTTAGGCTGGCTTGAGTTGAGTTGTGGTGTTAGATTCCGTGAATCTGCCCAACAAGTCCAATGATCAATTGTTTTTATTCCCATACATTTTAAAAACAGAACTTTTAGTTTTTAGCTACTTGTTTTAGTTTGTGGTCGATCACCTCCTGTGTTTTTGGATACATTTGGTAGTAGTATCGACTATCGATTTCTTTTTTTTAGTAAAAGGAGAAAGAATAGTTCGCTTTGTGCTCACCACACAGCTCCGTAGTAGTATCGATTTCTACCTCGACCATTAATTTTTGTGTGGAGATTACCACGACCATTAATGACTCTTCTTTTTCGACTCAACTCATTTTTACTAATGCACAATTATTCATTTACTCTCCAAAGTAATTCTGAAAGTAACTAGGTTTTGAGATAAACCGCTTTACCCTTAGT